TATTATATTTTATAATATATTTATTGTTTATAAGTTCATAATAACGATATTAACTTAAACATAAGCTATACATAAAGTAGGGTAAGCATAACTCATTTACCGGGAGGTTTGGCTAGGAACCGGGCTCTGCGGGGGCAAAACTTTCGAGCCGAAAGCTCTTCTTCTCGGAGCCTTCTGGCACTCCGGGACTTGCCTCTTAGCACTTGGGAAGTACTAAGGCCTGGGAGAGGTTTAGAGAGAAGTTAGAGAGAGAGAGAGAGAAGGGTTAAGGTGTGAAGATCTGTGGCAACCCTCGCATGCTATTTATAGGCTGAGCTTCAGCCTTACGTTGGGCGTTCCTCGGAGATACGTTGCGCGTACGAGGGCTACGCTCCGCGTACGAGGGGCACGTGTCAAACTTCGGATGGGCGACGTGGAGGCTTTTGGACCGCGCATGCGAGACTGCTGGGCGTAGGGTTATCCACGCGGGGCGTACACATGTACTCTCGCATTCAGCCTATTCTGACTTCTAAATTCCGTAATTTTTGCATACGAGCTCTGTTTTTGACATTCTTTATATGCACGCGTAGGTGGAGATGTAATCTACAACTTTCATTTAGACTCCGACGGCTAATTTTGACTTTATTTTTAAAGTTATACTTTAAGAGGTCTGGACAGGTAAAGTCCGTTTTCGTCTGTCTATGTATCGTTGAGCTCTTATTAACGAGATCTTCAATTCTCATTTAGATTGTGTCGGCTAAAAATCGATCGACCTAAAATTCGAATTTCAGGTTGTGCACTGCTATGCTAAGTCTTGGAAAAATCATAACTTCCTCATACGAAGTCAGATTTGGACGTTCTTTTTATGCACGCTCTCGGTTTAACGTATACTCCGAATTTCGTTTAGATCGCTAAGGCTAAAAAGTATTTTATCGCAAACTCACTTTTTACGATTCCCGGTGTTGTGTCGATTTTGCCATAAAACTTCGACATGTCATAACTTCTTTGTTATAACTCAGATTTCGGCGTTATTTATATGTACGGAACCCTTGTGACATATACTATAAATTGGTTAAGATTATTTATTCTAAATAATCTTCTATCAAAAAGTCAATTTTTACACTTATTGTCTCTAAATTAACTAGTCCGAATCTGCGGGCATTACACCAGGACTAACCAGGTCGTTGTTAACCCACAACCACCAGTATTGCAAATTCTTCCGAGGGGGCTTTTGGTTAACAATGAACACGTGCATATTGCGACGCTGAGAAAAAGTATGGATGCCAGATTAGGTGGAAGAGTTGAAAAAGGCCTAGAAGGCTCGAAAATGGGGACGCACACCCAAGGTTGGGCACGCTAACTCAAAACCGATAATTTTATTAACAACATTAGGCGTAAGATCGTGGATGGAGAAACCATACTCCCTCATAACTTCATCGAAAAAATCCAAGATCGGAAGACGGAACCCAGCCACGAAAATCGAAATAGGTATCCCAACATTCACTGTCGGCGGCTGGTAAAAGATAGCCCTTTCCTTCGGAAACTGCACTTCGTGATCGGGCATAAATCCAAAACAAAACTGAAGAGACTCGAACTCCACTAGCGTTGGGTCATTCCATGATCGAGCGGACTCCATAACAAACAAAGGATAAGAACACAACAGAAGAAAATGGACAAGGGAGAAAAGCTAAAGATACGGAGAAGCGTGAAAGATACAGGAGAATCCAACCGCTCCTAAATAGGGGGAAGTTCAAAATGTGAAGCGGGAGAATGGAATGGTTTCCACAGTAAAAACTGCCTACACAGGGCAGCCCTGCCATGTTAGCAGCTGTCGGGACCATCCCACACCAAATACGTGTCCAGGTCTAAGCTAGAATAACACAGGTATCCCAAGCAAACATTGACGTCTACTAGCCTAGGGGACTTGTTAACGTATCCCACTAAGAATACGTCAAACTTAATGGGGACCACGTCTGATAAACATGGCAGTCAAGGATCGACGTACACCTAGCAAGAGAATTGAACGCGCCCTCGCGATCCCATGATTATTCCTTGGCACCCAAGTATTGAAGCCCACCCAGAGACAAAACAGTACCAGCCATCTCTCAGAGCGACCGGTCTAATACTCAGGGCCACGCCTACTGAGAGTTCAGCACCAACGACAGCTAACCACTAGTGGAGCATGATCCACCAATGAGACGCCTGCACGTCTTGTCGGTCCAGCAGGGACCAAAAGGTATCGTCAGAATCTTGTCCCCACCATAATAGTTATAAATAGAACCCTTCTCCTTCAGGAGAAGGGGGACCTCTCATTCACTCTTCTACTAAACCCATACTCTCTCAACTAGACATTAACTTGACCGTCGGAGCTCCGTTCTGAGAGCCCATCCTGGACGACGACTGACGACCTTTTTCTCTGTGATGTGATTCTCAGGCTTAACTCCTTTGGGACAACAAGAGGCGACGTTAAGTCCGGAGAACATATCACAACAACGACATATCAAGGTCCAAAAGATGAATGAGGGATGATTTCTTTAGTTACCAAGCTTCAATGCCAAATCTTTCAAGAACACTTCACTCAAAAGCCATAAAATCACAATAATATGGATGAGAGGAGAAATGAGGAGCTCAAAACCATGAAAGGGAGGCTATGGTCTCTTCAAGTTCGATATAGGGTTAATAGAGGTTGAGAAATGACAAGCCCTTGGAATTAATGCACCTTAAATAGCCTCAAAACCCTAAAAACTTGTTTAGCCCATGGGCCGGAGGAGCCATGACGCCTTCTTAAGAGGTGCTCTACGTCCTCAATATAACTCAACATATTCCTCAGTTTTTCAGAAAATACGATTAATAGCTTCCTGCTTTACTCGATCCTTCTACTTTTATTTGCACTATAAAACCCCCAATCAAAGAATGGAAAAACATAATTGAGACTTAGATGTTATAGCGGCCAACCATCCTGCATCACTCTTATCCTATTTGTATGAGTCTGTGGTAACATTATTGTTGTTGTTGTTGTTGTTGTTAAATTACGTGTTTTAATGAATCGATCATTTTTTGGGTAAAGGAAACGAATTAGATTTAATTCTTTATATTTTATTAAAAAGAGAAAAATATCATTTCACATCCTCGTTATTTTAGTCATGATTCGCCAAATCAAAAAAAAATTGTCATCATCTCTCCCATATCATATCCACCCTACACCTACACGCATGTACCCACCCACCCCACCTACTCACCCCAACCACGTCATCCTACGTCCAAATCCATACACCCACGTCGATGTTGACGCCCACCCTAACAACCCACACCACCATTACACCCCACCCTACCCCTACCCTTATATGTTTACTATATGCCAATGTTTACACTCATGCCTATAAGTTTACGTTGAACCAACACCCATACACACCACATACCCACACCTACACTATTTTATATACATTAAAAATGATAAATCATACAATTATTGAATTGTATCAAATATATTAAGTTTTTAGAAGTGTTATATTAATATTTAATATAAAAAAGATAACAAAAACTCAATTGTTTTATGCCCGATCAGAAAAAACCAAAAAAAAAACTGCGCCTTGAAAAAAACTCACGTCATAACGCGATAAGGCGCGCCTTAACACGTTATTAGGGCGCTACACTTAACAAACCCGCCTTGGACGTTTTCGTAACGGCTACACCACGCCTAGCGCCATGACACGCTTTGAGGCGCGCCATGGCGTGCTTTTTAGAACCATGCTCACAGGCTTGTGCTTGTGCCTCATTGTTACTACCATTGTAACCTCAAAAAATTATATGAATGCAAATGTGATGGAAGTTCGTTCGTTCTTGTTCTGAAAACTCAACACTAAACGTAACATTAAAACATCACGTGGAGAATGCTTGCAAGTGGTAAAACAAGACAATTTCGATTCGACAAAAAGCAGATCAGCCGATGCTTTGTTATTTACGATAACAATGTAGTATGAGAAGTATTTGTGAAGTTTTTCATCAAAGAAGCTCTTCCATTCGACCATTTCGACAACCTATGACTTATGAAAATTATTGAAGCTTCAGCCACGTTATAGTCTGGTAAGTCATATTAGCTTAAACGAGATGCAATAAGACTTTGCCATAAACAAAATATAAATAATTTTAGAATTCAAAATATATAATTATAATGTTTTTTTACATGTGATGTTCTGCATATCATGCAAATGCCAATTCCTACCTAGTCATTCGGGTGCATTGGTTTCACCCATAAAATTGACTATTAATGAAAATTTATCATTACATTTCAATTATTTTTATTTTTTTTAGAACGACAAACGCACATTTTATTCAACTCTTAAACTACATCTTTCATCCATAAGGGTCTTCAACCAACAACCTATGATTAAATGTCACATTTTACCAATTAATGATACCATTAGACTACAACTTTTTGTGTATTACTGTTCAGTTATTTAAACATATCTAAAGTTGTTTTCTAAACAAAATTTATTTTTATAAATAACTTTTTATTTATTTATAAAATTAAATTTTATTTACCTTTCCAATTATGCACAAAAACAAAACAATATATTTTCATTCACTTGCTCAATGCATTACCTTGTATATTCTATTTCATTATTAATCCAATCCATCGTCCTAAAAGAACATTAAAATTTTATACGTATCATTACTTATTTCTTTCCATTATCATATTAAATTTGCAATTTGTAATCATATTTCCAACTTTTATTGGAAAATCATTATTTGATAAATCTTCCAATATCATCACTAAAACTGCATAAATGGATATCTTAAAATATAATAAAAATACAGCGTCCTTTTCTTCCATTTGCATTTGATCAAAATTAATAACCAAACACATCCTAAAAATGAATCAAATTTAAAAACGCAGGATACAGAAATGAGTGACATCACATTCACATTTGCGACGCATAAATCAAGATCTCAATATCATCACTAAAACTGCAAATTAACAAACCCAGATATTATGCAAACCACTTCTTCGAAACTATCTTCTATGGCGAAGAAGCCGCCAAAAATCCGCCTGCCTCGACGCCGTCTTCATCTAAGCACAAATCATCCGTCTTCCTGAGAGCTGCGTGAACCACCACAACCGCCAGTCCGATCAAAACGGACAAGATTATGTTCATCGTGGCGCCGGTCAACAGCAACAAAACCACCATGACAACTGATAAAACCGCCAGTACCACACGATCATCAATCGTGTAGTGAAAGATCACAAGAGGCTCGTCACGGAGGAAGTAGAGGAACAACCAGGCCGCCATCGACACAACGAAAACGATCAACGAGATCGGATTCCACAACAAGCTTAAGAACAAAATTACGAGCACAATCAACGCGTAATTCATACGAAAGTAACCGAAGTTCGTTTTGATCCGTGAAATTGCGTCAGCGAAGCCGTGAGGTATGTTGATCGAATGTAGATCGAACATCTGTTTCCATGGCCGTGATACGCCGAGGCCTGTTTGTATGCGTTCTTTTGCGCGGGATAGGAACTCGACTTTTGAAGAACCTCCGTCGGATGACGACGGAATTGTGCCGTACGACGTCATTGTCGCCGGCGATTAGGAATCCGGCGGATGTGGTTACGAGTAATTGGAGATGGAAATGGGGCAGTGTAAATGAAAGGAAGACGTGTAGACGAGATGGAGAGGGAACGTGGGATATTAATAATGGTGGAGTAATGGAGGAGCCCAATTAAGCTGCCATGTGCTGCAAGGTGTGTGACGAAGGGTGTCAAAAACTCGGTGGGACCAATAAAATCAAACAATTAAATTAGATTATCGCAGTTTGGGTCAATATTTTTAATTAATATCGTTTCTACGTTTTATTCGAACCAGTCGAAAACGGATCTTCCCATTTTCAGAAAGTTATTTGAAATTAGGGAAAATGACTTGCGAGATAATTACAGTCGAACCAAAACCAAGACCGATCAATATCCGAACGGAACGGATTCGAACTCTCCTAGAATAGTTTCCTGTGCAAAATGAAATTCATAATATATATATATATATATATATATATATATATATATATATATATATATATATTAATTCAAAAGACAAAGAGAAAGATTTTATAGGATTATTAAGTAATGAACAAAACAAATAGGAATAATTATGTATTATATTTTTTCGTATTGTTCACGTTTAAGCAATTTTTTTTGTATACATTTGACAATTTAACAAGTTAGATGGTCAAATGTGTAAAAAAAAATTGTCTAAATATGAACAATTTTTTTTACATATTTCTTAATACTTTTTATAATTTCTTACAACATTTTTATGATATTTTTTCCTATAGGTTTTTATAATACAATGTTTTAAACTTTGCTTATAATTTTTTTTAACTTTTTTATACTTACATATAATTTTAATACAAGTGTTTTTAAATTAAATATTTTTTTTTTAATTTTTAAAATTTTTCTTACAAGTTTTAATTTTTTTTTTTTACATTTTCATACAGTTTTTTTATAACTTTCATACAGTTATTTCTAAACTTTCTTTTATAACATTTTTAAAGTGTTTCATAGATTTTGTATGACAATTTAATATTTTTTTTATAATATTTTAAAATACTTTCGTTAAATACTAGTTTAAAACGTTATATTAAAAAAATAAAAAGTTTATAAAATTCTAATTAAAATGTATTAAAAAGTTGTAATAATTTTAAAACATTTACATTATATAGATTTTTTTTTGTTTTTTTATTTGCTAAGTAATATTTTCTTTTTATTTTTTTAAAAGACTCTTCATACTTATTGTTACATATTTAGTTTTTTTTAATTTTATTGTTAGATACTATTTATTTAAAAATATTGTATATGCTTAAAAACAAAATAAAAAAATTATAGAGACTATATAAAATATTTCACAAAACAAAAACATATTTATTAATTAAAAAGTAAAGTTTAGAATTTATAAATATTTAATTAATATTTAGGAAATTATTGATATTTTAAAAATAACGTTTGAAAAAAAAAAACAAACAAATATGAAAAATAAAATCGCTATTAAAAGTGGAGAAAATGACTTATCAGATGAATTAACTTTTCGTTTTGTTCACATTTATGCAACTTTTTTTTGTATACATTTAACCATTTAACTTATTAATGTATTCAAATGTTACCATTGTCACATGTTCTTGCCGGTGACAATGGTAATATGTGAACACATATAATAAGTTAAATAGTCAAATATGTACAAAAATAAATAAATTGCCTAAATGTGAACAAAGCGACAAATATGATTATCCTGGTAAGTCATTTTCCCATTGAAATTATATTTGGTGTTGATTTGATGTGGAGAATATCATGGAGATCTACTCACATAAATTGTTAAATATGGGATATATATACTCACTTACTCATTCAGGGGTACATGAAACAATTGGAGATGTACATATAAAATTAGCCTTTTAAAATTTATGTTAAATTGACTAACAAGTATCTCAGTGGAATGATTGCTTTCATCCAAATGCTCTACTTCAAGATGGTGTTATGGTTTTCATATGGGATATATATTCATTTACTCATTCATAGCTTTCCACGATGACCATAACACTGAATAAGTCAAGGCAAGCAACAATTTTTATATCCTTTTGTCAGCCCTCATGGAGTCAACGATTGAGACTAAAGGACAATACGTAGGAGGCCTACTAAGCAAGCCTTACGGTTATAAGAATTTGACACTTGAAAAACACATGCTCCATATCTTCCTTGGCCTTCAAACAAAAAAAGAAACGAAGAAGAGCCTAATGGCACCCCTCTCAAAGCAAGATTAAATGCAACCAAAATTCTATAAGGCATCAAATGCCAAACAAAACAAGTAACTTTCAAGGTCACCCATTTAAAGCACTCAATAGTTAACTTTCCGCCACAAACCACCTCAAAGACCGAATCGAGAAGTAATTATTGCTATTGTCACTCTACACCCATAAGAGCAAAGCTCAAAGAAATGTCCATGATTTGTTATTCAGGTATGGCAATGTATTAGACTCATTCCATCTTTAGTGCCAAAAACCAACTATCTTACCATCCGAAACACTATTGGACAACCTATCAATCACCTTGCAAATTTTATTGGACTCAATTTTATACAATTCAAGAAATACATCTTTTAAAGCTAAAAGAAATGTCCATGATTTGCTATTAAGGTATGACAATGAATCAGACTCCTTCCGCCTTCTAGGTTGTCGTGTCCAACGCTAAAACCAACCATGTTACCATCCGAAACACTGTTGGACAACATATCAATCACCTTGCAAATTTATTGGACTCAAATTTATACGATTCAGGAAATACATCTTTTAAAACCAAACCTTCATGTTATTTATCCTTCCAAAAGTAAGCATCATTTCCAGCCCCTATCTTTCTCTCAATGAGCACGCCCAAATTAATATTTCAATCCTCCAAATCCATATTTGATTTAGCAATTTTAGCCAAGTACCCGAAAGGCTAGCCTTGGCAATGATCTTACCATTAATACAAGTAATATTATGCCATTCTTTGATGCAATTAGACCAAAGACAATAACTCTCCATTTTAAGACGCCACCAAGCCAAATTTAAGGTTCTAAGACCCTCTTTTTGCTTTGTTAAAGTCATCGTATTCCAAGCCACCTAATGAATTTTCCTATTGTTACCTTTCCTATTCCAAAAAAATTGCCACCTAATCCCTTCCAAAACATCATTAATCTTCTTTGGATCTTTAAAAAACGAAAAGTAACTGTAACTTCCCAAATTTAATCCAAAATTTTCATTTTTAAAATAAGGTAGACATCCCAATAATTGTTTCTAAACACACATAAGTACTCATTTCTTTAAGTTGACAAACCATTATCCAAAACATCAGAGTAATAAAATATTGTAAAATTAAAAAATGCGGAGGTCTCCAAATCATGACCGTGGATGTAGTGCAATCAAGTTGCACCATTCCCATTGCTTCTGGAGCAACCCGAAACATTTAATCTTAAACTGTAAGCACGAATCTTAGTGAGTTCCGTAAAATACCACATACATAAGTGAATGTTAAGATACCATCATAATCTTACACTCACTCATGTTCCTGCAGAACCACTATAGTTTTTCCTATTATGGTACCACCATAGTCTTTCATACAAATGTTATGGTACCACCATAGTATTTCGTATAGGTGTTATGGTATCATCATAGTCTTTCATACTAGTGTTATGGTACCACCATAGTCTTTCATGCAAAAGTTACAAAGACAATCTAGCATACAACGACACCTAGTGTCCTATATAGTATAATGAGAATACTCATCTGAATCAAAGAGTTCAATTCCAACCTCTAAGAGTCTTGCAATATCAATTACATGAACCACCTAAACCAAACATAGGCTAAACCCCCGTCTACAGCTCAAAACCTCTAATTTAACCAAAAGTCAAATTGGTCAAAACATCAACGGTCAATGGTCAACGACCCCCGCGTCGCGGCCAACTTTTAAACCATGTTGCGATCACTAGATGCCAAAATAGTTGGTTGGCCATCGCGACCCGCACCGTGACTTCCAAGGAACTGCATCGCGAGTCACGTCTAAACAAATTAATCTATTAAGCTCTTAATCCAAACTTCTAAACAGATTAATCTATTAAGCTCTTAATCCTTAATGTCTAGAGCTTAAAAGCTCATTCCTAATTCTTCCAGAGCTTTGTATGAATAAAGTTTCCAAATTTATCCATTTCTCAAGTCCAATCCTCCTTAGATCTAAAACCCTAACTTTTAAATAACTAAAATGATCAAAGGTTCATGCATGGCCGCAAATGAGTATCAAGCAACCAACTTTATCATATCAAAAGGTCCAAAAATTACTTAGAATTTAGTCTAAGGTTCTGGAGTTGCTCAAACTCCAAGAACCTTCCTCATAAGACCAACCAAAGGCTTCAAAGCATGAATAAACCACTAAAATAGATAAAGGTAAGAACTGTATACATCTCCAAACTCCTTTTAGAAGATGCAAGATCTGATGAGGAAATCAACACTCCAACCCATAAGCTCACCACCTACTTCTTCCAAATACTCCTCAAGGCTCAAACCACCAAGAATACACACCAATAACACACAAGGATTAGGGTTTCTCTGTGGATGAATGAGGTTGGAAATGAGAGGGATCCCGAAAAGTTAGCTTCAATATATGGGGTTCAAGACCTGATATCTAGGGTTTTGAGCCCGACCCCATCATGATTTCCTTCTCACCCGCACCGCGACTTAACGGTTTTCCCCAAAAGCTTATTCTGAAAATCCTTAAGTCTTTAGCTGATCAATCCTGAAAACATGTGTAACAGTAACTAAGGGGAAGGCTTCCCAACAAGATAAATGAAAATGAAATTTAACGGGCTTTCAACACAAAATACTAGCAAGATGCTCAATCTTAACATCACCTTTTTCAAAACATAAGTTAAGTAAAAGCACTTCAAGATTCTATTTGGATTGACAAAATTCACCTTGGACAATTCACCAATAAAAGTGATATCATCCGCATACATAAGATGAGACAAGAGAAAACCACTATTGGGGGAGAGATATACCTTGA